CCTGATGCCTTGAAGTTGGGCTGGTTCAGGGTTTTGGCAAAGTCCAGGGCCTTGGTTTGGATCATCTGGCCAGACACTGAAATGTTGAAGGACGAAGATGGTGGTGTCTATCTGCATGTAGGCGGAGTTCTGGAACTGTTGCTTCATGTCAGGGTTGGTCTCGTTTTTGTATGCATCCATCAGCTCTGCTTTCCACTTCAGGATGCAGCCAACCTGAAAAACACAAATCAATGAAACTAAAATTTTTTACTTGTCATTGAATTTCTTTGTGATATTCAATACTATCAACAAAAAATAAATTTCATGTAACTATGGAGCACTTCAGCCAAGCAGCTGAGTCACTTTATCCCTAATAATGATTCATTCTTTTGTAACTTTCTAAATTTACTGTATGCAAATTCAATTTTCAAGTTAATGATTTTAAATTAGTACAGTTGTTCATGTACTTTTAACACTGCCAAATGAAAATTAAATAGCATCCAGTAAGATTGTTCATAAAACAACCCAGTAATGTGATAGAAGAGATAAGCTTACCTGAGTTCTGCCAATCTTGAATTCTTGTGCCAGGGTATGGTGACTCTTCCCTTCACTGTTGCAGATGAGTTGGACTTTCTCACGGAGGGTTAGCTTCTTCCTCTTGGGGGTGCTACCAGGCATGGTTAATCCAGGAATGGATAATCCACGTAAAATTCACAGTGTGTGTGTCGAGACAACACAAAAGTCTCATAGGAAAATGAGGATCTAACCCAATCACAGTCCAAAAATGACTGAGCAGCAGTAATCGCAGTGGTAATCACAGTGGTAAATCACAATGTGTGCACAGTATGACAAGACAGAGACCATTGATTTGGCTAAGAAAGCAGGGCTCTATGTATTGCAAAATGGAGGAAAAAGTGCATAAATTTAAATGAATGTGCGAATTTTCTCCTTTGAACAAATCTTTTGTTCACAAGAAGACGAAAGAGACACCGAACTAAAAGTATTACAAATGACAAAGTTTAAAGCAGTGTGAAAACATACTGTTTGATTATGTATGTGTGATTGCGTAATCATCAGTGCAGCATGAGGTGTGAAGCATCAGGTAGGATTAGTGTGCCATTAATAAAGAACATCAATGGTCACCTGGTTTGTAACATCTATAAGACTAATAATGGCTGGAGACGGCTTGAATGGGTAATTAAAGAAAACTTTAATACAAGTTTAACATAACAGCAAATGTAGAAGTGTGAACGTTGCTTTGTCTCTTCTGAAGCGTAATTCGCGTGAACCATTTTTGGACAGAATTGTTACTGGTGATGAAAAATGGATTCTCTATGTGAATATTAAATGCCAAAAACAATGGCTCAGTCCTAGACAAAAACCACTTCCAACCCTAAACCCTGGACTCCCTCCGCAGAAAGTGATGCTTTGCATCTGGTGGGACATCAAAGGAGTAATTCATTTCGAACTCCCCAATCCACAGTGAACTGTCAATGCAGAGATCTATAGTCAGCAACTGGAATATTTAAATGAAGCCCTTAATCTGAAATGTCCTTCACTCGTCAGTCGAATAGGTGTTCTTCTTCTCCATGACAATGCACGTCCACATGTGGCATATTTGATGCAACACAAGATTATGGAGTTGGATTGGGAAGTTCTCCACCACCTACCATATTCACCAGATATGGCAACATCAGATTACCATCTTTTTCGTTTGCTGCAACACCATGTTATTGGGAAAACGTAAGCAAATGTGGAAAGTGTTAAAGAGGATGTCGACATGGTTGTTGCTTCGCAGCTAAGTAATTTCTTTAATCAGGGCATTAACAACCTGATTGTAAGATGGAAAAGCATCATCTATAAGAATGGAGACTATTTCATTTAATAAATGTTTTGTTTTGATATATAAGTTGTTCGGGTTTTTTCACCTAAAAAAAAAGATGCTTATATACAGTACCAGGATAGAGGGCACATTGAGGTAGGTGGAGAGTATCACGAACCCAATATTACCAAGGGTAATAGAGTGGGGTATAAAAGACTGGAGCAAGCAAGAAAAAATCAGACCAATGCTTAGATGGGCAAAGAAGAACCATGGTGGTCGAGGAATAGCTGTAAATGTCAGAGGAGGTAAGTATTGGAAATACATTTTCAATTTAGGAAGTCATTTTTTGGAAGTCAAAGTTAAACTATGAATTCGAATTTACTGTGGCTGATGAGGAAGTTCCTGCCAATATGATGGATGGTAATGTCACTAATCCCCAGTATGGCAGGTTGACAATGTCTGCCAAGGAGGTTCAAGCTTTAATCTGCAGGGTGTTGGATGCTTTGGCTAGTTATTTGATTCATTCTCCTTTTCCCCATAAACACACTTCTGAGGAAGTTTTTCATCAGGGTGAGGACGATTTTTATTCTATTTTTCCGGCCCCAGATTTTTTGGTCAGTCACACAATGCTGACAGTCAGAATAGTTTGCCAACCACTCATTTCCTACAACTTATTGATCAGGTATGTCAAATTTTACATGTTTTGTCTTTAGTCCTTTATTCTTCTTTATTGGGTGACGATTCTCTTCCTTTTTTTTCCTCCTTCACCCGACATTCTTGTTCATGCTTAATGTTTTGCTGATCAATTGCAGTCGGGTGTGGGTATGCCCTGTCCCCCTCAGCTGTTGGACCATTATTCTTTCGCATACCAACGTGTCTCGAATCCTGATGATTTGATTCATTTTAATTGTTCCCAGTTTTCTAGGATTTGCCTTACTTTGACCACACTTTTATGTGGTATTTACTCATTACAATTGTTATTTCAAGCCTTCTGCCTGTCTCCTGATCAATTTCAGATAAAACTTAGAACACTCCTATGATCTAACATTTCCTGTTTGTCGGCATCGGCACCATGAGTACCACCTGGTACTTTTGTTGTTGGGATTTTCTGGGGCATGATATATTACTTGTGGGAGTGCATCTCCTCTTTCTTCTTTGAGGGATCTTTGTCAAGCCCGTTTCTTCACAAAACAATATTTGTGGGTCATCCTGAATCTTTGGAGTCCAGGGTCAATGTAGCAAGACAACATTCCTCCCTGTCCGCCCTGGCCTCTCGTTTGTCTCATCCTACTGTTACTGCTGAACCTTCACCAGTTAGGGTACCCTGTGCCCATTTATTTCTCTCCTCATCCATTACCCTACTCCAGGTGTTTCCTTCCTTGCACTCATTCTTCCTGTTCCCTTTTCTACAGAGGTCAGCAGTATCAGTTGCCCATGTATGTCATTTTCACTCATTGGGTCTTCGGACTCACCATTACAATGACAACTGGCTACTACTTGCCTCTTACCAGGCCCAGTCATTATTTGCTCTGCTCTGATCCTTACTGGAGCAACAACCTCTGCCCTTACCTCAGTCCAAGTGACTCCTCCAACAACCTCAATCATTTATGTTTCATCACAACATCATCAAACTCCATCTTTACGCGTGGCTTTTGTCTGGTCCATCACTTTCATTCAGGGACTCATCCCTCGTGTAGCGTCTATGCTTACACATACCATTTGATCTTCCCCTTTGTCTGTGTATCAGCAATGTTGGTCTATCTTCAGACAATGGTCCATTCGCCATGGCTTCCATTTTTCCATCCTACTACAGCAGCTTACACAGTGGAAGCAACACCCAAGGTTTCCAAAGTTTCCTGGGGCTGTCATGAAACTTTGACTCCATCATCTGTATAGAACAGTGTGTATCATGATTTTTCTGCCCCCAAAACACTTCCAGTGCTCAACAGTCCAATCCTGATGGTCTTCAAACAATTGTGGGCACATCTTTCAGTTAGAAGCTGAGACTAGTGATTTGTGGATGAGAAAACAATTACTAAAATTAATTTTTTACAGTTCCTTTTGTATTGTTCTTGTTCAAATTTATGGTCCTGAGCCATTGTTGATTTTATCTGTCAGTTACTCTACTGTTGAATGCCTATCTATCTACGCAACCCTTTCTAACTACTAGTTATCACTGTGTTGAGGCAGTTTTTTTATTCCATACACAACTTTCTCTGCTTTCAGATTTTTAAAAATTTTTCCATGCCATACATACATACTTGGAGAATAAATACCTTTGATTTTCTATTCAATTTCATTATTTTTTGCTGTTGAAGCTCTAGCTTATATTCAACAATAAAACATTTTTCAATGTCACAAAAGGCCTTAACTTTACCCCTCTTAATAAGAAATCTGCTTACTCTACTTATGCAGGTGCAATAATTACATGGGGCACATTTCTTGCCTGTTTATTCATCAAATAGTGGGAAAGCCCAAAAAATTAATAGGGTTTCAAATTTTCTGTATATATACACACACACAGACAGTAGCTGTTGATGAGGGGGTTCATGTTAGTTTTTTTTATTAAAACTCAAAATTTAACAGAATACAGCAAGTTTCCAAAATTTTTTAAAGAAATATCAGTAGTGTACAATAAGTTTTTTGATATTCAGTGACATTTTTTAATGTTTTGTGTATGTAGATATAAAATGTGCATATAAAAATTGGCTATAGATAAATATTTTAATTCTAGACTTGAGATTTGTATTACTCTTCCAGTCATAATTGGTGGAACCTGATAGCAAAGTACCTCTTTGAATGGGGAATAGAGACTTGTGTATAACTATCAAGAATCGAAGGCCACTGTTTCAGTATTGAATACAATGGTCACAGTTAACATAGCAAGTAAGGTGCCCCAATTGTCAGTGACCCCCCCCCCAATTCAAGTATGTTCATGATGCTTGAATAATTAGTTTATAAAATAAAAAGAGGAGTACCTAGAACATTCATAATTGAAGTGAAAGTTCTAAGTGCTCTTATGCACTTGTTCAAAAATTTGAGTCAAATGATATTGAAAAATAAATGGAGATCTCAGTAGTTCTGTCATTTTGATATGCAAATTTGAAAGAGGAGGCAAACTCATTGTCAGTATTGAAAGATTGACTGACAAGGACGTTCTATTATTTCAGAATTTCAAATTATCATGTATTTTTCGTAGCAGAGACAAGTGTAGAGAAGGACATGGAGAACCAAATCAAAGCCAATGGAATTAGAATCCAGCTACTTCAAGATCAAAATGAAATCCTTAGGGAATCTTTGAACAAAATAAAATCTGTTGTCTCAATACAGAAAGAATTAGGAACATCTGTGGTTAAGAAGGTACTTTTTCTTTTAATTGTCTTAAATATAAGTATAAGTTACCAGATAGTACTAGCTTTGAGAATTATTTGTAAAGCTTAATGTTATGATGCCTTTGTGTAAGATTATAAAAAGTAAGTAAATATTACTTTAACTAGCTGTTGTAGCTAGTAACTAATGGTAAGGGTAATTTCTTTATTTGTTACAAAGAATTTTTAAGAAAGAGGTCTAGAACCTCATCCAGTATGTGAAGCACAGCAAATCAATTTTTTTTTATGTCAGAATTATAAATGTTTTTATGCTAAGTAGTAAGAGTTAAAGGATCACATTTTTAATGTGGCATTGTTTTATTCTTACTTATTTGAAACATTGGCACATAACTCTACATATTTTTATTTTATTTTTTTCCTAAATCTATTTAATATTTAAGTGACAATAGATAACCATAGAAACAGAAAGATTATGGGAAATATTAATTAGAACCTGATAATATCTAATATGGTAAAGCTATCTTTAAGATTGGAAAGGACAACAGTTCATAAAATCCAAAATCCTTGTCCAGCAACTTATGTATATATACATATATATAATTAAACGTGCTCATATCACTTTAAACACTAGTTCTGTGAAGTAAAAGTTTATTTTAGAGTCATCATTTGTATATTTGTACCTGGCATAGATAAGCAGCATAATTATAATTTCTGCACAAGAATAGAACTGATATATTAAAAGTTATATACTACAGTGTGTACTGATAATGAACTGGTGTTGTTATTTAGCATATGATGATTTTCTTAAGAGTCAAAAATAAAGGAGTTTTCTCCTATACTTTGGTGTTTTCAGAATTGACACACTAAGCATCCATTACTGTAGAGAAAATATTGAAAGTTTTTGTATGTGATGCAATAGGTTAGGAGCTACAATGGTTAAACTGGTATTTTGAAAGAATTGGATCTTCTTTTTTGTGATCCTCTTTGTATTAGCAGTGTGTATTACACAGGGGCGGATT